GGTGGAGCCGGCACCGTTCCTCAAAGCCTGCGGTGCCCGAGAAACCGCGGGGTGACGGAAAGCGGCTGGAGAGGGCCAAGGGCTTGGAAATCTCCTCAGGGATGGAAGGAGAGCGCCGCCGCCTGCCCCGAGCGCGGCTTTTAGAAAGGCCTTTCGGCACCCCTGGGGGTGCTCACCCTCGGGGGGCTCCGGCTGCGAGCCTTGCTCTGGGTTAGCAACCCGCGCCCCGGGGACCGCTTCCTGCAGCCCCCCGAACGGGTGGAGTGTCCCCGCTCCCAAGAGACAGCTTACCTGAGCTGCTAACGCGTAGGAAAAAAGCGTTAATTATGCTGAACGGTGGCTTTTGTTTGTTTTCTTGACAGAGTAAAATTGGAAGAGATAGTCGCAGATGATTATGAAGAGATAGATGATGGCTTCTCTTATATGCCAACAGAAGACAAAAAGCATAGAGAAAAGCAGGAAGAATTATCTAGAAATGAAGATGACAGGCATAAAAGGGAAAAGAAAAAGAATAAACATAAGCCTGAGTATTCTTCTTGTAGGGAAGAGACCTCTGTAGATATTTGGGACTCTCAAAAAAGGTACAAGAAAAGAAAAAGAAAGGAAGAAGTTAGCGGAAGAAATAGACTCACAGAAGGTAAGGAAGAGACTTCTACGAACCAATCTAAAAAGCTTAAAAAAACAGAGAGGGAGAAACAGTTGACGACAAAAAAGAAGGATGTAAAGCAGACAAAGGCCGCTGCAGCAAAGATGGCTTTAGAACAGGCAAATGAGAGCCTTTCTCTAAATTCTGGTAAAAATAACACCAAAAAAGTCACGACACAGTCCAGAAAAAAGAGGGTGGGATCTTCAGATTCCTCCAGCACATCATCTGACAGCGACAGCAGTGAATTAAATGTAAAGCAAAATAAATCTTCCAATAAACCTGTAGTGGCAACACTTCCCAAAGACAAATCCCAAGCTGGTGCAAATTCTGATGTGAAAACTGTTTCTAATAAAGTGACTGTAAAGTGTAATGCTGAAAATTCCAGTAAGACTGCGATCAGGAAAAATGCTAAAAAATCCCAGTCCTCTAGTTCAGATTCTGACTCAAGTACAGAAGATGAGAAAGTGGCAAAAGCACAAGACGGTACTGCAAAGGAAAAGTCTCTACCTAACAATGCGGCAACTGTGAAACCCAGTACCACGAAGGCTCCCAAAGCAAAGACCTCCTCTTCAGAGTCTGATAGTTCAGATTCAGAAACACTTGTTATTAAAAAACCCACAGCAAATGCTGGGCTGAGTAATTCCATAGTAAGAAACTGTATTAAACAGTTGCCAACCAGTATTCAAGGACCGCTTGCCAGCCCAGGCCGTGGAAGGGGGCGTGGAACGGGAGAGGATAACTTCTGGAGAGGACCTAGGGGCCGTGGGTTTCACGGGATGATGAGGGGCCAAGGCCGTGGGAGAGGAGCAAACCCTGGCTTCTTCTATAACTACAGCAGTGAAGGCCAGAAACAGAGGCAGTTAAATGAAGCTGCGACAAACACTTCTGTTCTTGTCCAGGTGAGTGACTTACACAGTCATGGGTCACCTTTTCTCTTGCAGCTTTAATGACACAAAAAACAATGATGAGAGTAATTTGTAAAAGTAGAAATAGATTAGTAGGATAAAGGTTGTTTTAACTTAGTAAATCTGTTATTTATTGTATCTCCATTTAGCAGCCTGAGGAAGTGTTTATGAAATGATATTTAAGTGATTGTATTATATATCTCAAAACAAAGCGCACAGATGCTCTTCTCAGAACTTCTTACAATCCACACAGCACCAACATTTTCTTCTGTTCTATTAATACTGTAATTAAATCAATGGGTTTACTGTTTGTTTCGCAGAATCCTGTGGAGGTCCCCAAGAGAGACTATAGTGTGTTACCTCTTCTAGCAGCCCCACCACAAGTGGGAGAAAGAATTGCCTTTAAGGTAAAGAACTTGTGAAATACTGTATATTAGCGGATTAAAATTGTTTCATTTGTGCCACTGTAAGTTTTGCAGGACACACTACAGATAGCATAGTCCTGACAACCAAAAGCTTACACTAAAGAATTTAATCTTGCGTTGTTCTGGGACTGTTATCCTAGAAGTATAAGAGTTCAGAAGTAGTCTTCATCCTACTTATTTGTTCTTTTTTAAAAGTTTTATTTTAAACTTAAGCAAATGGTTCAGCACCTAAAAAGTCTTGTGTCTAATGTTTGTAGGCATTTCGGAAAGCCCTCATTCCTCTCTTGCTTTCTTTGCAACCTAATAGTTTCCCATACAACAGAAACTGTCATGGTTTCTGTTGTTGGCTCTAAACAATTCTTTTGTTGCGAAGTCTGACTTTGATTTTTACAAAGGTTTGGAGCACGCGCATAAGTTCAATGTGTTTCTTTAGATTGCCTATAATTGTATAACACAAACAAAGAAATGTTGTCTCTACTGTCCTTTCAGTGTGAATTTCCGTGTACATTTGTACAATCACTCTTCGCTGGCATACAAGTCAGTTCACGAATAATAGAATTTTCTGATTGCATCTCTGCAAAGTCTCTCCACTGTGGGCATGTTTTCAAGGTTTATATTTGAATAAGAATGCCATAAAGAAGCATGTTAACCCTCTGCTTGCAACGTGCAAAGGAAGTCAGCATTAAAATTAGATGCTATAAAAAGAAAAATCTGTATATTGTTATTTCTCTCTATAGAGTTTCTACAATACTATTGCAAATCTTACCATACAAATAATTACATTTCACCGCAAAATAAAAAAGCAAATGAAAATGAAATCACTGCAGTTGAGGAGGCGGGGACCTGTCTCCCTGGTCTCCTTTCACAGCCTGACCTGAACGTAAATCCTTTGGAGGAGTGAGTCCTGGAAGACGACCTGGGACTGTGATCCGCATCAGGATCCAGGAGTGGGAGACCTGGTTCTTGCCCTTGCTGAAGAAACCATGTCTGGGTATAGGTGGCCTCAGCATGGATCAGGAAAAGTTGTAATTTGTTACTTGTATTTCTTTCAACAGCGCTTGGAACTAACTGAAAATTACAGTCCTGAAGTTTCAGACTATAAGGTACCGCTTTTCTTTCCTCCCTTAATTCACTTATAAACTCTTATAGGTGAAGTAAGGCTTAAGTATTTTGAGGCTGTGCAGTACTTTTCTTCTCATCCACTTGACTCTGCAGGCTATTCCTGATGCAGCAGTAAAAATGAAAACTCCAGAACCCAAAACTAACTGAAAATTTCAAAGGTGTAGCCATTATTAAAAAAAAAAACAAAAAAAAAAAAAACCACCCACAAGCATTATTAATGATCATTAATATTTTAGAGATGACAAAAAATGCAGACCTTCTAGTAGAAAAGTGTAGCTGTAATTCAAGTGTACTGCTGTTTGAAGTCAAGGCAAATTCTTTTAAGTGGTGCAAGTAAAGTTTTGTAGCTACTTCAAATAACTTAGTTTCTGGATAAGTACTGATTTGAACTACAAAGATGGTGACAATAATACCTTTGGTTTATTTATGCCAGTAACTGCAGATTGCTGAGCTTTAATACTGTGCAGATTTTATATACAGGTAGAAAAATCTGATAGACAGATACACTTCCTCTAACAGTGATCAAGTACCACCGTGGCTGTAAATACGGAATAGCTGCCCAGTGCTGAAGTATCTCTGATCTGATTCTTTTCTTGTTGCTTTATGAAGGAGGGAAAAATAATCAGTTGGAATCCTGATAAAAAACAGATTGAGCTCGAGATCCTTACGTCGTCAGCAGGACAGTGTATGTACCCTGGGACACTAAATGCTTGTTGTCACGTGCATCCCTCGCAAAACAGCCAGTCTGAGTCATACTTCATGTTTCAGGGGTATTTCCAATTTCCCTGGGTTCCTGCTCAACACGCCCTTCCCCTTCTCACTCCCTCCCCAAAAAGTCTATTTAAATGGAGAAGTTCTAACACTTGCTAGTTTTACTGAAGGTGCTTTTTGGTATTTGCAAAATTAAATTTGTCCAGTCAGTATGAGTTGTCAGTAACTCATCTCTACTGTGGTTTCATTTCCTGAAAAAATTAAAATAATTATATGGAATTACAGAGAAAATTTTAGATCATAATGCCAATCTTTGCAATGTCAGTGAAGCCACTGTCTTCAGTGGATGTGGAACCGACTCCATGCAATGACAAAGTGCACTTCAGAGCCCTGAAACTATGGATGTTTCTGAAACTAAATGTTTATACTGCAGTTACCATTTAAGCCAAAATTAATGAAACATCATTGTATGAGCATGTTTCTCAAGTCTAAGCAGCATATTGTTGATTAACTTTTTCATGCATATAGTCATATTAGATAGTTACCTTAATTTTGGTGCGTTGTATTCAGTTCTACCCTGGATTTCTTTGTTACAATTATGAACCCACACCCCCCCACCAAAAAAAAACCCGGTTTTGATTAGCTTTCTAAATATGGTAAACATTTAAACTTTGTTGTTTATAGTTAATGGAGGTGTGTGTTTGTTTTTTAAGTTGCTAAAGAGCCAGGGAAATTTGATCTGGTTTACCAGTCTGCAGATGGAGCAGAACTGATAGAGTACGCGGTTCCGCAGGATACAAAGGTATGTGGGTGTCCTGTTTTGAAGCGTTACAAGTTTTGCATGGCTGATACATGTACTGCTTTATGACTCTGTTCTGAGGTTCCCCTTATAATAATGCATCTGATTAAAATAAATGGAAGCAAAAATATTTCTTCCTTTCTAGCAAGAATATGCACGATTACAAGATAAGAATAACTTCTTGTGTGTTACTCAATTAACTAGATTCAAAACCAGTCATCAAACTGTGTAGCTTTTTGTTTTAGCTAATAAAACAAACAATATCATGTATAGATAGAGTATCAGTTCTTACAAGGTTATTAATTTCATGCACTGTTCTTCCTACCTGCATCTGTCCTTACTCCGGCCATGAGGCAGGGTGAGGTTCATCAAGATCGATGAATTGCAGGAAGGATCTGTGATCTTTGTTCAGCAGTGCTGCTCAAGTCTAGACAAAGCATCATGTAGGAGAGATTGCATCTGCCTCTAGCTTGGGCGCGCTAAGTATTGTCTGCATTTTGTTTCCAGATAACTGAAAGTTGGGATGCACTGATAGAGCCAAGACTGATTGTTGATCCTCCAGTTAACGGATCCAGCACTGAAAATGGAACAATCTAAGATGTGAATAAATGTAAATAATCGTACAGACTTGTTTTGTGAAATGCTGCCTTCTAGTTCTGAGGGCAGCAGATGCATTGGTGGGTATTTTTAATAAATAGTTTTAAAATGAAACTATGCCAAAAGAAAAAGAAACACTTTTTTTCTTAGGATGTGTTTTTATGTAATACAGGAATACTTTCTTTATTATAGAAAGTCTTTAGTATAGACCTGTGGGGTTTTTTTTCTTAATAGAAGCTTAATAACAACTTTATGTTGTACTGCTGCAAGCTGCAGATCTGGAATGGTTTGATCAAAAAGAAAAAATATGACCTGGTACTGTCAGTAACTCCATTTAAATGTCTGGGTTTGTCTAGAGCCGTGTAACTGCCATACAGAGGCAGCTTGCTGTAAGGATAGTTAAAAACACCACTTAAAAATGAAATATAAATAGTGTTGATGTGCACATCTGTTCCTCTACAGCTGCAGAGCATGATACAAATGCCATGACCTTGCAGTTATGTACAGGGTTCACCTGAATGCGTCAAGAAAAGCTTGTGGATTTCAAACTTCAGTAATTTTGAGAGGCAGATAAATAGTATTGGCAACTGTCAACTTGGCCTAGAACCCTGACAAAATTGTGTCCCAGTGTGTTAATCTGTGTAGACTCTGAAAACCTGTTTGTTTGTTTGTTTGTTTTAAAACAAACCCTTTTGCCCTTTAAGTGCTGAAGTTTCTGTATTGCCTTTCTTCTTTCCTTCCCAATAGCAGAATGGGTCAGCAGGTGGTGGCAATGTGCTTCACTGACATCTCTGCTAATTAGCAGGATTGAGGTAGCACCTCGTACCCACTTAGTACTTGGTTAAGTCTTACAATTTAAGATAATGCCTGTCCCGGGTAGTTGACTTTTAAAGCAGAAGACACACACAAAAAAATAAAGCCCTAGATACAAACAAGCACCTGAAAAAATGTACATCATGGTTTAACTGCCATGTACTCTGACTAGTGCACGATTACAGTAAAATATTGCACACCTTTGCATTATCCCTATTAAAATGTCTTGTTTGTGAAGGAATCATTTTTATATGAGTAAAAGTGATTTGTGTATTGCTGTTCTATGTTAAAACTTGTTTTTTAGATAAATGGACAGTTGGATTCATGCATGGATATTCTTGCAAACTGGACAAAAAGAAAATTCCAGACATTCTGGCACTGCTGAGGCAGTTGGGATTAATGGAAAGATTTTTTTTCTAAAGGAAAGAGTTAATTTTGAATTCTTATAAAATTGCAAAAGCTAAACGCAAGTATTTCACAGCACTTAGAGCAGGATTCACCTCTTCTTCCATTGCCTACAGTACATCTTGGCTGCAAATTAAATGCAACCTGGCTGCGCTAAGTTGGTCTGGCTGTGAAGAACAGATGATGGTTGAAAACAAATACACCCCAGAGAGAGGATGTTTTGCAGATAAAATCTTGAGTATTAGTTACCCATTGTTAGCAGGTTTGGGTGAAACTACCGCTTCAATGCACAATTTAAATCAAGTGCAGTCTGAGCTGGCTGCCTGCCCTTCCTCTCGCACCCACTCGCCTTCTCTTGACGGAGCCACACCAGGTTCCTCATACCTGGGGAGCCGGAGCAGGGCTGGAGCGCTAAATGGGTGAGAAATGGAGAATAGGACAGAACGTGCACGTGAATCCCAGAGGGAGCTGGTGATGCTCTGAACAAACCCTTTTGCTTGCTTTCTGTCCTGAGAGTTTTGGGGTCTCTTGTAAGCCCTTTTGCTGGGGCAGCCCCAGCTGCCAGTCATGGGGGTTCCCTGCCACCCTCCTCTATGCAATTTAGTATTACGGGTTTGTTAAAAAATTCTGTTAGAATTTTTTGACAATTTCTAGTGTCGTGACTCAAAAAGGATGTGTTTGAGCTAGCGAGCTACAGTCACACGTGTACAACACACTGTAGGCCCAGAGCCAAGATGAGCACCTGCGCCTAGAGGCTGGCAGCCAGAACCTGCTGAACAGATCTTAAAGACCTGAAAGTTTGCTGCCGTGACTACTGACCTTGCAAAAACATTTGAGTGGGTGTCAGCTCTTTAGGAATTTGGGGTTATTTATAATTTTGATGTGAAAACCATACCTACTTAAACCACTTTGAATATTAAATCCAAAAAAGCCAAGAGTATCAACACCTGTCTCAATGTCTGCTCAGCCACATGTACATGAGGAACAATTTATTCTGCTGTACTTCTGACTTCCGGCTCAGACTCTGAGTGGTACTTTCAGTCTGCAGTATCTGGGTAAAGGGTTAGATTTTGTTCAGAACCACGTGAATAAGTTCTCAAGTAATTGCAAGGAAGCAAAGAGAGTATTAACTTCACTAGCTACTTAAATGGTAAAATTCTTCAGTAATTTTTAATGTTAAACATTACTGTTTTTTAGAAAACAGGAGTGGTTGGGCTTACTCAAAACAGAATTTCAAGCCCCCTTTGACAATGGAGAACTTAAATTGTTCATCTGAACTCTAAACATCCTGTGTTCTGCTCCAGAAGCAAACGCTGCAATTGGCAGGGTGTATATTCACCCTTCATGTTTGCTTCCCTTTGTCTGCATTAGCTGATACAAGATGAATGCTGCAGAAAACACAGTGAAGGTTCTGAGCCTTTGACAGATGATGGTGGCTTTGTCCAGATAAGCCTAGGAAGAAGCATTTCATTGATCTATAGAAAAATGAGAAACATAAACATTAACAGCTGTTCTTTGGTCCTGTCTCTGGTAACACACATAACAGCTCTGTAAGAGTTGCAGTCACTGTCACCCACCACTGCCCGGGTACCCCAAGGTGTTCGCATCCCCTGACAGCAGTTATGACGACCTGATCTGTACATCCCAAGGAAGCTGTACATAACACCTCCTAGAAACTCTTCCACCCTTGAGCAGATGCTATACTTGAGCCCTGAACTTCCGCTCCTCTGTCAAAGCCATGGCAGCTCTGAACACCTCCTGTTGCCCTTTCTGCACCATTACTCAGGGGTGAATCGGAGGCCGTGACAGGCAAGTGCCCCATAGTTCACCTTGAAGGAGTGAGACTGGAGCAGGTTATAGATTTAGGTAGAAGTATTAGCTGTGTAAAACAGGTTTACGGTGACAATTCAGATTTAATTTAGTCTTTCAAAATACTGGCTAGGAATTTCTTTCAAAGCACTAATTATAACAGACAAACCCCCATGGCCTCTTTTGAGTGCTTCATACGATTCCTGAACGTTTTTTGAAGTCTCTGAGGACTAATGCCAACACACAGACCCGACAATTGCCTGATCATACTTTTATAACGACATCAACCGGACCGTCGGCTGTTCTCCACGGGAGGTGTCCTGCGGGCCCAGGGGCCGGTCCCGGTGCTGCCGCCCCTCCCGTCGGGGCGGGGACGGGGCGTGGGGATTCCGGGAAACCTCCGGACCCAGTTTCGTTTCTGAGTTACGGGGCAGCGGCAGCCGGGGCGATG